TGACATTGTAAGGAGAAATTCTGTTTTGGTCACTCATGGGAGTTAAAGGGTTAACAAGTAACTTCTCCCTATTATATCCATACATTATTCAGCAAACAGGTAATGAGAATACTCAAACTTATCAGGTGGTTGTTATCTTGATCTAACAACAAATTCTTGTAACTAATTTATGAGGAAATATGTAGCAACTAGAGGAAAGAATTAACTATAAGTTCTTGGCTGTAAAAAGGTTTAAGTTGACATTTACAGTTCAAAGCATATCACTCAAGGGGCACAAATGAAATCTGTATTTTGCCTAAAGAAAAATGGGTGAAATGGTCTCAGTCTCCTGTGCATATCTGAACTATACACAGTCTAACTTTACTGTCTGATCCTCTGTCAATAGATCCACAGCAGAGGTACACCATATACAAGGTTTCTGCATGTGTGTAGCAAGCCTGTACAGAGGTTGTACAGACAAACCTTCTTCATTATCTGTTTCTCTTTGCATGCTACAAAAAAATTATCAGACAGTGAATGACACTCCAATTATTTCTCACCTGACACTTCTCAACATCAACAGTCAGAAAAACAGCTGCTGAATATTTCACACTCAAATTTGAAAACACAGGGGCCATCATACGGCATGGGCCACACCTACATGAACAAATCAGAACAGATCACAAAATTAATCATCACAGAACTTGCCAGAGTCTAAGATCTAATAAATATAACAAGATTTAATGAATCAGGAATATCCTTAGATAAAGATGGAAATTGAAAAATTCATCTTTCATCTTTGTTGCTTTTCTTTGGTTTCTTGAAAAGATCAAGTGAAAAAATGGAAAAGAAGGCTTCAATAAAAGAAAACACATACACATATTTTCATATAATTGCACAAACAGCCAATAGACACTCAACAATAGTTTAAGTCTAACCATCTGCTGTTTCATTTATGATATTCTGAATCTCTTGAATATGGACAGATAAAATTTGATAGGGAAGTTTGCCTTCAGGTTTATTTGCTCAGAGCATGTCTACAGATATCAAAGCATATCCATACATCGTTTACAATTTATAAGTATTAATCTCAAAAAGAGATCATATCATACATTAGGATTTTTTGTCACTAGTGTTCTCATTATGATCTGAGGAAGGCGTCTCCCAAACAAAAGTAAAGGCTTAAAATAATGAAAAAGAAATGAACAGTTTCAAAAGCACAAATAACAAGACATGGGCGGATATTGGCAGTGATCGATCACCCGGTCCCGCCTTGTATCGAGAGCCCTGTACTTGTGGTTTTCAACCCAAAGTAACTTAGAAATTTATAGATAACAACTTGAACTGTGAATGATCCGGTGGGTCTCAGAAACTCAAATCTCAAGTTTTTAAACACACTTAAAGAGAAATAATTTCAGTAAAGATGACAAATTTCTTTGTCTAAGGTGTACTTTCAAACACGATCACTATAATTCTAATCATTAGTGATTCAGTTCTCATAAACAAATCAATTTAGGTTACTAGTGCGTAGCCACTAGCTCGTCTGTTTCATATTTCAGTGTTACAGCGGAAAACCAGAAAACTGATTACAAAAAAACTGAAGCAAACTAAACAATGCGCTTAAAATTTTAATCACGCATAGGTGAAAGACGATCGAGAATCTTCCATGAAAAAAAAACTTCCTGTGCAAGATAGAACCTTCGATCCAGGAATCAGACAAGTACAAACTACAACTTTGCGTATTTAAATAAAGTAATTTGAGTCTATTGTGACAACTGATGTAGTAAAACAGCGATCCATAATCTTACCAAGATGCATTAAAATCTACCACGACCAGTCTGTTCCCAGCTTGATTGAGTTGTTGCTGAAATTGGCTGTCGTCTTCAATGACTATGGAGTTTCCGTGATTACTAACGGAAGCCATATTGTTGTTTTCCTCAGCGGAGTTATAAAAATAAATCTCGTCTGAATGATGGATTACGGCTGAGAGTTTTCAAGAAACCAAACATGAAGGATTTCGTCATGAAAGACAGTTTTTCCTAGCCGTTCAGAATGGGATTAAAGGAGGAAAACCGCAAAAAAATGATTTTCCTCTTCGAATGGGTAGCCGAGAGCCAGCGGTATTCAGATGAATCAGCAGCGGTTTTCATTCTAAAGCTTCATGTTGGCGACATAAACAATAAACAAAACACACCGTGTAATATCACAAAGAATGGTGAACAAATTATCTTATCAGTACAGCCACTGGTAAAACATGCTCAAAAAATTAAGAGGAACTTATTTCCCCACGGAAAATTCTCATTCATTTAATCAAACGCCCACTCTCTCTAATGATATTCTCAATAACATAATCTGCGCGATTTGATCCGTTACAACCGGCTGTAGATTGATTAAAAGATATATGATTATAATATCATAGACATAATAACACACGTTTTATTTAGTTGATCTACCAGGTCACATGAATAAAGGAGGTAAGTTTCTAAAGAAACTGTGATGCTGCGTCACTTGGGTTATCACAAGATAATTTAGTTTTTAGAGCTGTAAAACTTTCAAATCAGCTTCCTATTGCTCGCGGCATGAAAGGATGCTTCTCAGTCAACTGACTTATTATTGGTTTTTTTTTCCGTTTGTTTTTCTCGTTACCGTGCCCCGATCAAAAGCGTAGCTCCACCTTTCTTTATATAAAACACACCCAACCCACAATTCCTCGATTCCCTTTGACGAAGGGCTAACGCTTGAAAAGTTAGCTTTAGAAACTCCTCACGGCCAATTTGCATTATCAGTTAAGGGGGAAATAAACAGGAAAAAAATAGAACTGACCCGAGATAAGCACAAGTACTTGCGTCTGTTCCGTTTAAACTCCTTTTTCCCCCAAACAACAATTCCAAAATAAAAACATAAATCATGTTGGCAATCCTGTGTAATCATATGGGTAAAGTAGCCTTCCATTTCAAAATATTCTTGTTTTGGTAAGCTTGTGCAAGTTTCTGTCTCGGTTATTGTAGATTGTCAACCAAAGAAATGCATACTGCTTACCTCATTTTTTAACACACCTCTCTCCATCGTATCTTTTATCTTTCATCGTATCTTATCATGAGAAGCCTTCTTCTCCAATGATTGGCTCGTGTGGAGGCCTGAGAACTGAAAACTCCCAATAGGGGAGGGGAGGGGAACTTACGGCAACAATGCCTGCAACAGGCTCTGGTCTTATAATTGTTTTAAAGTTAATTATCGATGAGTCGCGCCTTCATCACAGTGATCGTCCTGGATGTACATTTTCAGTTTCTGACTTCGAGTTACTTTGCACCTCTTTGGCACTTTGTAATTTCGACACAAAAAAATTCATGATGTTTGACGCAGACTCTCGGTAATTTTAGGGCTGACTTCATTTTGTATTGTGAAGTGTCAAACTAGAAACTGTTTTGCATAAATAAATCTTGTAGTCACGAGTTAAACAAAGCATTGAACATATTTGGGAATCAGCGCTCACAAGTTTACCTGCGCAACTGTGAGTTGTCAATCAAAACAAGTGACAGTCTTTGAAAGCATCATTGACTTTGAATGGCTTGCCTCTGTCTTGAGTCTGTTTACAATATTTTTTGAGGATTCACCGTCTTAGCTTCATTCAAATCTTTTGTTAATCCAACGGTTGTGTATATAATTTCCTACTGGGCCGCATAAAGCTTGTAACGTCGAGTCCAAAGACAGGACAAAACCTATTTAATCTCCGGTCTTTTTCATTTAATTTACCGTCGGATACTGGCCGCTCACTGACTTAGCACTCTTGACATTACCCTCGAGATTCGGTTGTTCTACGAGAATGTGTTGAATCACGACTTAAAATGTAGATTGGGAACAAAAAGCCGAGTGAAATCTCGCCAACGAAGCTTTCAGAGTAACTGGTCGACGTACTGTTGGGACTAAAAGATTATTCACGCTGATTAAGATGACAGCACAAGCAGAGGAAAGAGACGAAACTCCGCAAGAGATGTTATTGGCCTTGAAGAAAGAAATGGTACGTGATATACGTTATTTTGAGTTGAATGAATCGAGACTACAATTTTAACGTTACCGAGCCAAAGTGAAACAGTTTTGCTGGCCTTTCACGAACTTTCTCCACTACAAAGTATCAAATTACTCTTTAATAGTTACAATAGCTTTGCTGTGATCGTTTGAAAGTAATTAAAATGTTGGATAATTAGGTTGAGGAAAAAATAAATCTAACGAAATCAAATTCAGTAATGTTAATTACGCAGCGTTAAATTGACTGACTGTAAATTCGGTAAGTCCCTGGCTAAATATCCCTAGCAAGAAAATTCGGAAGGAAAATTGTGCTACTTCGACAAAAATCTTTTTTAAGCGTTCATTTTAAGGTCATAGTGTTATGGCGGAAATTCTCTGTTCTCTCTTATCGAACTGATGTTATTTTTTTTGAAAGCAAACGAGATTTGCATTAATGCGCACACACAATACTGAAACACGCTGTATATTGAGAACTTTCGAGTTCTAAAGGAAAATTTGGAGCCTAAATTTCGTAAGAAGATCCACGAGGTGCTATGAAATCTATAAACTGTCTATGGACATTCGTGACAAAAATTTTACTCTTTCGAAATTTACCTCATTATGCTAAATGGTTTTTTTCGGGAACAAAACCTTTCTTGACCGCAAGTGAAGTCTGTCATAGAAAGAACATTAAGAGGACTGAACCAATGAATCAGTTTTTTACCTCCTCGAAGGAAAAAGGAAGTCGTTTAAATAGTTGGGAAATTATATATTGATCAAATTTTGATCAGTCAGGAGCAAAAAATCTGTCGACGTAACAGCTTGTTCTGAAGCTTAGAAGAAAATGTAATAAATTATCCAACCAAAAAACAACAACAACATTAACACGGTTCAAGGATTCACAATGAATTAAATACGTTTTACAAGGTTGCCCCATAGAATCATTGGTCAAGAGTTGGAAGTGTTTTCTGTTTCTCTAAGATTTATCTTTACCTATAAACCTAAACATGTATTATTGTTCACTTGCAGTCTGTTTTTGATTAGAGCTGAGTTGTCTTGCAAAATTGTAGTCTATGAAGGAAATTTATAGATAACTTCCGTTTGACTTTGGCCGATAATGTGGAACCGAAATAAATTTTAAAACTTGATGTTTTAACTATAGGACATTTCAATCGTTGGGTACGATAAGAGATGGGAAAAAGTGTCCTCTTAATGAAGGCGTTGCTTCAGTAAAAGAATATGTACCAGGGTCATGGGAAGCTTTTAATATTGGGACCAAAATTTATGTCCTTGGAATAACTTTGTCCAAGGAAATGATTTATTTGTTTTTAAATTCCTTGCTTCAATTACCGTTGGAATTCGAATGGCGCTGACAAATTAAAAGCAAGGAATTTGGAAAAATGTTAAAAAAAGAATCACGGATCAGAAACAGAGGAAATGATATAGAGTGGGTAAAGAGAAAGATTTTTTATTAGGTAGTAACACAATACTACGTAAGTTCGCACCTGGTTTGAAAAGCTTTTTTGTTTTTGTTCAAATTAGAATTATCTCAAAGACGAGGAAAGCTCCCTAAAAGCTCAGCTTCTTTCACTCAACAAACAGTTCCAGCTACTGGTGAAATCTGCCGCCGAGATATATCCGGAAGTTTTGGACGAAGAATTTCCTAAGAAGGCCGCTGCCAGGCAACGAAACAGACTTCTTCATAGGCCATTCAAAAGTCCGGACAGTGACACAGGAAAGGCAGTTGGGGCCACAAGGTCACCAAGCTTTACCAGGGGTAGCTATAAGTCACAGGAATCCCCTCTTAGAAGACCGGTGTTTGATTTGAAACGATTCCCGCGACGGTACATAAGATTGACCAGCGAGGAGGCAGCGGCGCAGATTCAGGAACAGTTTGAAAAAAGCAGCAATGCAGCCTCGGGGATCGACGCGAGGAAAATAAGAAGCTCGTTACCAAATTCGCCTACAGACGAAACGGTCATAAGCCCTGTGGTCAGTACAGAAACCCCTGACGATGAACGGAGAAAAAGGCTGAAGAAAAAGATGTTAGAGTCAAGAAAAGTCGACGTTGTAAACTTGGGTTTGTTTTGAGATCCTTTTTAAGGGGTTATCTTCTCACATCCTAATCTCGTACCCAGATCCTACAGTGTAACTATAAATTACATTCGCTTGGCCATGCAAGGTATGGGTACGAAACTATTCACATCCCTCGACATTCCCCCCTACAAATGCCCCTCCCCTCCCCCCAAAAAATAGCTTAAGGTATTAGCCATTTGGAAGAAGGAGGACGTATGGGACACCTCTCTTTTAAATTAATGACACTCACCATCTCTCACGTTTCTCACCATCTTTATAAAGTTCAATAATTGAGCAAAAGTATACTTACCTTGTTCGACCGCTTAGTTTATATCAGGATGCCAATTAACTATTTATAAAATGTAGAGCTTAAAGTCATTCAATACAAGTAATACATTAGTATTGTAAGGCAGATTTTTACATACGAGTTACGGAGCAATTTTTAAGTTTAGTGTCAAAATAATTCAGAATTTCTCTGGTTTTGCTTTACTTTGCTCTGTGATTGGTCCAGAAAACTTGCGCCATCTTGTTAACCAAAACTTAATTCAATAGGAATTGGGTAGCTCACATTTTCGCGCGGTAAAAAATGGCGCACAATTTGGTCAAATTTTTTCAAGTTAAATTGGATCACTACTGTTATAATCTTTTGTTTTTAGTGATCGTCTTGGTAACTTTGGCTCAGATAATCAATACATATCAATACTTAATTCAAAGAAAAATATATTACGTTAAGTATACTTTGAACGCGTCAAGATTTTTACACAAAAAATATAAATAGTATAAATAGTATTGTTCAGCAAATGACCCGTCAATTGACAAATATATCGACATACGTAAATAATCATGTTTTTGAGATTGAATTAAATTATTTGTTCAATACAAGTTTCCCTCTTGTCTTGAATTAAATGGAACGATATTTGACTGAGTAAAGCTATTTTTACCGCAGCTGTGATAAAGAGATCAAAATACAAACTGATTTTGATGGAACTTATTTAAAGATCTAAAAAAACACAGAGATTATTTCTATTATCGGACTCGTGATTTCACTATCTATCTGAATATTTTTATTCAGGGAACTTATGCGCAATAGTTTAGAAGTGGTCTCATATGGTATTTTACAAGAACCGAAGCAAATATTTTTCTCTAAGTTTCTCGAATGCGCAAAAGAAATGGCTTTCGATGTATTTTGGCTTAGTTATCCAAGTAAACGAAGAATTCTGTCTTCCTCAGACTAGATTGCGCGCAGGCTATAATTAGTGCTGCGACGTGGCAGTGAAGTTGAAGCACGCGAGAATCGAGCGTGCGAGGTCTGGCGTTTTGTGCCTGGACCTTCTCGGACTTCCCGCGCGTTCGTATCTCTCCAGGAGGAGAAACGCGTAGGCTTTTCCGCTCTTGTAGCAGCCCCAATGAAAGCCTGCTTGCAGTTTTAATACGGTCGTGAAGAGAACATTAGCAGACAATCTAGACGAGTACTAGATTTCTGTTTTCACTTTTAAGACACTGGGTTCGTTGTCATTGTGATTTTGATCTCGCGTCTGTTACTATGTTCAAAGACGTATCTTCTTCGTCTTACTGAATATTACTGAATGGCACGATGCCTTTTTTTTTCAAAATACAAAAAAATTGGAATATACACCTTTTGTAAATTGGCATTCCCTCGAATAATCGCAGTATCCACGGGTCGAAAGTGAAATTTTACGAAATTCAGACAGTTGATTACCTTGGCCAGAAAAATAATTGATGGTTCCATGCGCTCTTAGAAGCGTCAAGTAATGGAGCAGTTGATACAAGCGGAGAAGCTACGAGAGGTTTAGGACGCATAACAGTGATAATAAACGCACGCAGCCAAAAGTGCACGTCAAAACCGCCAGCTAAGCAAGCTACATATACTACAGAAATTTCAAATCGCATACACTAATAGCAGATTCTCATCTCCTTCGTGCGAGTAAAAAACAAATTAGCCAAAAAAAATTGATGTTAGCGCACCACGCGGAACTTTTCGTGCGCTACCCTCTCAGAGTCTTGCGCAGCGCGCTGAGACCAGTTTTGTTTTACGCCAAGTTTTTTGAATCTTGTGACGGACTTTCACGCGAAGGAGGGACTTCTTGTAATCTGCAAATCGTTTGAGACCCTATTCAAAATCCAAGGGTGGCTTTGGTCATTTTTTTTTACAACTTGCTAACAAAGCCCAATAAAAAGAAGTGTAAAGGCTCGGATCAACGACATTGATGAAGAGGAGGATGAGTTTCATTTTACTTTTAACTGATATACTCTCAGACGGCGAGCGCTTATGTTTATAAGACCACTAACAACAGACAGTTTGTTGGAAAATTCGCTTCTTTTACTCATGAGGTGATTGACAGAAGAGCACGTTCTGCAATGGTTGACGTACATGAAACAAAAGTCTTAAGACAGAAAATATAAATAGAGATATTCCTTCATCGTCCATTTTCGTCCCTTCCCACGCTCCTTACAGGTCTCTTTAAAACACACGTCCCAGGATCGTCACTGTCGCCCATAGCAAAGTTTAGATGTTGATATAATTTTTACCCAAATTCTGAACAGTGATAACTCGTACGCGAGACCTTCTCATGATACAGTCTTAGCTTTCTCTTTACAGATAAAAATAAATTGAAGTTATTGATCAATAACTAGTTCTCAGGTAGGCCAAGTTATTATCTCACTACTAGAATCCTCATTTTCTTGGGTATTCCGCTGAAATAGGGTAACGACAACTCTAGAAACCAGATTGACCGTACATTGTTGTTAATATGCGGTTGATTATGAGATTTTTTCGCTCTAAAACCCCTGAAGAAAACCTCATTATACATAAAAATATTCCTCTGAATTCAAGGACTAATACGGATAATGTCTCTATCTGCAAGTGCTTAATGAATTCAAGGTCATTTACTACGACAGTACTTATACCACAACCATCAAATTGGGTAAATGAGTTTGGAAGGCGTGTTAATTTAATAAACACTCGTAACTGTATATTAAGTTTGCATTTATACCGTATTTTGATAGAATAATCCAAATTTATACTTTCTTTTACACCAGGCCTATTTGCACTGACATGAAAACAGCTTTAAAAAGTAAACAAATTTACAATTTGTACCGGATCAACGTTCTCAAGACATGTAAGTTTTAAGACCACAAAAATATCTCCTGACATCTCATCCGTGAAAAATATCTTGAAAATGCATTGTCCTGGAGACGTAAAAACATAGAAACAAAACACAATCTCAAGGAAATGTTTTCAAAAATGTTCGTTTACCTGGGACAAACCCTTCGGTAGTTGATTAGTATTTGGAATCGAAACGATGTTTCGAAAGCATCGGAAAGCAACGTCGGAGTTCTGAAAAGTGAAATAAAACATTTTGAACGGTTGCTGTGTGACAAAAATACTTTAGTCTCAAAGAAAGTAAAGTTTAAGTTTGTCTTTATTTTTAGAAAATCGTGTTTCGTAATTAATATCAATCCAAGATGATTTCGCTTATTTTGAATATTGTAACTTGCAGTATTAACAGATTTTTGTATTTTACCTAACATGGTTGTTCGATATCAGGGCTGTATGTTGAAATCAAAGCACCAATCTAGATCGTAAAGTGCTCTGGTTCATTCCGGATTTGCAAATAATCATTTATGACGTTTTGGTTTATATCAGTTTATCCCTTCAACCCCTAAGATCGATAATGCTTATTTTCCAAACTGTTTTCCATAAATTTCCAATGATACTGACAGAGAAAATTTGTTCAACAATCAAGAGCTTGTCTGATGAGTGATCATTTCCCTTTTTCTCACGACCATAATGTTTGATTCAACAATCATTCTGTGTGATTAGGAGTGATATTGTAAGGAGAATTAAGGCATCAATCACTCCTAGGGTTTCAGGAGTAAAGCAGTAGAGGTTTGCTACAACAAACACTTGTAAATATTATTTCAAAAACTAAAATTTATTCCTTTACGTATTTCAGTTTTATCTCGACGTCATTATCGAAGATAAATGCATAACAACGAAGCGACTTTTCGATTTGGGTGGAGCTGACGACTTTTCTTCCTTCTTAATGGTAACTGAAGTAATTCTTTAAGGCGTTTTCCCTTTAGAGTGACGAGCATCTAATTTCTCCCTGCGATATCAGTCTTGAATCAAACATTAAGGTTATGAGAATAAAGGAAATGATCACCAACTAAAAAAGCTCTTGATTGTTAAACAAATTCTCTTTGTCAGCACCTTAGGAAATGTATAGAGAACAGTATGGAGAATATGCAAACTGATGTTGGCGTGTAAAAGGTTTAGGGTATAGAGTCTGTTTGTACGAACAGTTTTGGTTAAGTTCAATGAATATCAACTCCTTTGAGAGGCAATCAAATTTTATAACTCACCTCACATATGCGTGAAAATTGTTACTATCCTATAGGGTTTGCATACTGATGCTAGGATGTAAAAAGGTTTAAAGAGGAGGGGCTGATTTCAGAGCCTAAGGTGGAGTCATTGTTTTTCTTCTGAAAAGAAGCCTTAATTGAATTATCATCTTCACCAAGAACAAAAAGCTCTTTTCTGATGTATGCAGTAAGCATGACGATGATCATCAAGAAAGAGAAACTGGCTGAAAATACACCCTTTAATATTAGCCAACCCCTTAGCGCCGTAACCAGAAACTGAATTGAAATGAAAACAGAAACGGTCGGAACGACTCAGATGGATTTTTTTAACAACTTTGACCAAAATATCCTAAGTGATTTCCCTATCGAAATTGTTTTTCACTAACGCGTTCCGTACTAGTCATACTTTCTTTGTTCGTCCATTGTATCGTAAGCTTCCATTGGGATTCTAGAAGATACTCTTAGGAATTAAAATTTTATATCTATTGTCACCAATCGACTCCATGCTTGTGGCAAAGAACACGCAATTCTGTCGTGAAACCCACGCGTCATAATAGAGCCAGGTGAACCACAGCTGAATATTTTCAAACCACTTTCAATATTTTCCCAGCGTATAATGCTAGCTTGAATTTTCATTGCAAGTTTTTCTCGTAAAAAGGTTTGCCGGAAGTTTGTCTTCTCTGTAGGGGGAATAAGCCATTAGTTGCACTCTCTAGAACGCCATAACAACGGAATGAGTCACGTCTATTTCCGTTTCAAAGAAATTGAAAATTCGTCTTTGCTTAAAGGAAATAGACGTAATCTTCTGACAATATCAATACTTGCTTACATATTTGCTTATGTCAGGTGAATAATCTGTTAATACGGTAATACTCCCCCACTTTTTCTAATACTGTTTACGTTCAGGAAATTTTACATTGATTTCCATGTGTTGGGGCGCGTGCGCTTGTCACGGGAACAAAAAAGCTTTGAGTGAATACGTCAAAAAATATACGCCTTTTTCCTGAAGTTAAATATTCTAAGTTTGTTAATATAAGAAACGGAGATACGTAAACGACAAACCACTTTTTAGAGAGACACTCAACACCAAAATAGGAATTATATTGCCTCGCGAATTTGAATAATGCTGAGGTCATTGTCGGATGTGATAAGGAGAGGTTGTTTGTAAACGGCGCTTCGTCACTGTTCTAATCAGCTGAATCAAATTGAGCTGTTTTGCATCACAAAGGATACGAAACTAATCGTGACAATAAGGGCATAATTAAAACATAGAAAGACAGATAAGTTGGAAGGAGAAGATATTCACAAACGACTTGTTCAAGGCTAAAAAAACATCAAGAGATCAGTCTTGCGTTACAATATCACTGAATTAACAGAAACTCGATTTAATCGGTCATCGTTCAACAATTGAACTGTGCTTGTTACTTGGAGAGGGTCGCTGGGTTCTGGAACGATTTGAGAATTTGCATAGAATTTCACGAGGTCAAGATCATACTATGCCATCCACAGAGCCTGAAACAGTGACGAGAGCAAAAGCTGGAGCGGAACCTTGGCCAGAGATGTCTGCTCCTCCAAACCCTGAACCTCTTCCCGACTGGGATCTTGCGCTGAGAGATTGGAAATATCTTTGGGAACTTCACTACATCGGTTTTGGAGTCCTGTTCTTCGGCGTGGCAGTGTTCTCTTGTATTTGTGTCGTGAAAATCAAACACAGAGCTAGAGGCATGACGTTGGCGAATTACTTTCTTGCTGTCTGTCTGATGTTAATGACGTTTAGTGTCTCAAGAACACTGTACCTGTTCCTCGATCCTTACGAATCGCACACAGTCTTGGATCTTCCAGTGTTGTTGAGCAGAATCATCTTTGCCATTGGATATCCTTGCTTAACATCAGCCTTATCACTGATTCACTTCGCCTTCCTCGAAGTAAACAAACTTCGACTGATCTCACGGCGTCTTCAAAATGTCAAGTTTCTGGTGTCGGTGATAGCGTCGCATTTTGTGATCGTGTTAGTTGTGTATTTGGTCATAACACTGGCACCGAAGCTCGCTCGTTTGCTTATTTTATGCCAAACGGTGTTAATTTCCTGGTGGTTCATTCTGGCAGCGTGCTTCTTGTACAGTGGTTGGAAAGTAAACTGGGAATCGCAAATCACAGCCAAGTTCTTCAGCTCTACAGTGGTGAAGGATCGAACCGCTTCAACGCTTTCTTCTGCCTCGCTCGACCCGCAGAGCTACAGTGTCACGGTCGAGCAGGCAAAAACTTTGAGCGGTGATCAAAACAAACCTTCGAAAGGAGCGCAAAAAATTGCTCGAATTTCTGGCTTTGTCTCGCTTCTTGCATTGCTAAACTTCGGAGCAGAACTTTATTCACTGTTCTCGTTGTACAAACTGTATGATTTCGAAGGAGAGAATGTTGTGGATCACTGGCCATGGTGGGGTTATCAGACAGCGAGTCGAATTTTAGATTTTTTTCTCTGTTTGGTAATAGCCTACGTTATTTTCCCTTCCACTCAAATTGAGAAAACGCAAAAACATTCCACCTCTTACGGAGTGGACAGTCATACGATGCGTGTGAACAAGAACGTGGCAAAAACGGCTGACGGAATAGACGCAGTATGATGTGCAAAAATTTAAAGGAAACAAGAGAGGAACGATTCGCTCGCGTGATTGCAACCACGACTCGAATGTCGGAAAACATCAAAACTTCGCAAAGAAGATTTCATTCAAAAGAAGATCCGTTGATTAAGTGTACGTGCAAAAAATGGAACAAAACAGAGATTAACAGTGGTTCACGTCACCAGAAACATGACCCGGAAATCGGAGAACACAAGAAATACGTGAGATACACCGGTTGTGTATCTGTTTGCAAAACTTAACGGTGCACAATCATACAGAAGAACCCTAATAACAGCGAACTCTACAAAATGAAAGCGTTTCGCCGAATCAAGAAGTTAAAAGTTACGTGTTTTTAACAGTTATTCAAGATAGGTTTTCCTCTTGCGTAATGAGTTCTTCAAACATGTTACAAAGTTGACTGATGAATACGTCAACGAAACAAAACATTTTAAGTTTTACCTTTTAAGAGAAAGCTATCATTTTTCAAGGGTTACAATTGTCACGAAAGATCCAAGCACTTCGCGGCTTGCTTTGCAAGTTCAATGTTGATGTAAAAGTCTTGTAGATTAACATGCATGTTAATTAATTGTAAGTTCTCTAAGTCACTCCTAAATACAGCAAAAGAGCTCGGTTCAGTTTTAAAAAACAGTGGATTGAAAGAAGAGAAAAACTGCAAAACTTTCCACAGGTAAAATGGAGATAAGTAAAAATTCATGTAAGGATTGTGAAGTTACTACACAAATTCAATAAATTCTTCACGTTTTATTTCTCAAACAATTTCTGAATGCTATGCATAATTTCTGTCATTAACCTCGTCATTAAGTTAATAAATAAGCCAGCAATTTGGCAAATGCTGGAAAATAGTATCTTTGCTGGTAATAAAGGGGAATTTAGCGCAAAAATAATCCAACGAATGCTTCTTTTTAATTGGTTTGTGAAGGAAACTGACAGAGGGGAAAAGAGAAGTACTACAAAAACTAAAAAACCACTGAAAACAAACTTGCATCTTTGGACTTGCGTTGAATAACAGAAAATAAATCCACGACATCTTTACATACTCAACCGTCCAATACACAATATTCTATGTTACACAACGCACCGATCCATCAGAAGCGACGCCGCTGCAACTGAACGACAACCGTCGCACGAAATCAAACAAGCAAATCGAACTAGCAAATCGAACTAAAACGTTTGCAAAGAATTGGTTGTCCACGAAAACAAAAATTATTTCCCTTAAAAAGCTATTTAGGAAAATGGTGGGAACCTCCACCATTCTGCAGATAACTAAAACAAAGCAATAAATTTCTCTTCTCCTTTAAACATTTCTAGTCCCAGCGACCTCTCACTGGTCGACTGGATGCGAATCTACAATTTACATATTGTTTTGAAAAGGTTTCATAAATTTTCATTAAAAAATAACCTATTCTTTTACATACAAGACCGCTCAAAATATATTACAGCTGTACAACTTGAAAATGTGCACAATTTCCTCATTACATGAATAGTTTTTTACAAAAGTGACGAAACAGAGGGCTAACTTTCTATCCGTAAGTAAAATTCTTGAAACTGCAAAAAAAAGAGGAAAACAACATTTAAGTTTTTCTCTGGAATAGACCAGCATAAATCCTTTCTGAAAATGAAAAAAAAAATTCAAAATTTGAAAAAGCTACTGTAAGTGTCATTTCTTTATAGATGGCTAAGTGTTCTATTTATTTATTTATTTTTATTTTTTTCTCTCACCTTAATGCTATACAGTCGTGGTGTTCTTGACGTTCTTATTCATTGGTAATGGCGTAAGGTCGTGCTGAGGAGGAAAGTAAATCAAGGAAGATGCAGTAAGCAATTCTCCACACTAGCTACGACATATTCGTTTGTAGTATTATAAAAATCCAACACTCTCTGGGTGACAATTTTCCTTACTCAACAACTGCTTCTTGGAACTTTAGCAACATGGCGAGGAGTACTCGCCCGTGTGCAGGCCATTATTATCAACGCTGCAGGACACGCGTTTCTCCACCGCGGAGGGTTAACCGTTCATAACCTAACATCAGTATGCATATTCTCCATACTGTTCTCTATACATTTCCTTAGGAGCTACCAAGGAGAATTTGTTTAACAGTCGAGAGGTTCTTTAGTTGGTGATCATTTCCTTCATTCTCCTGACCTTTATGTTTGATTTCCGGATGATATTGTAAAGAGAAATTAGATGCTGGTCACTCTTAGAAGTTAAAAGCTTAACTGTGAGAAAAACAGTCTTACAACTAAATGCGACATTGACTAATTCCAAAATACTCCACCACTCGGTTATTTCAATTAGCAATTAATCTCTGTCTTCTCCTTACAATTGTGATGCATTCTCAACCAAAAAGGTAAAGAGAAATGAGAAACGAATCAATCTTTCGTCTAACACTGAGTTCTCTTACCTGATTTCTTCTCCTCGCGTTGAAGGCCGCTAACCGTGATATGTTGAGTTTAACTTGTCTAACTGGACTAGGAGGCCTGGGACTAATCATCTGTGAAACGCAACGAAAAAACGATTAATGGCAACGGTTAACAAAAAGTTCTTACATAAGTTTTTTGGATAAAAAAATAAGGCAAATCGGGTTTACAAACGGTAAAAGACACGAGGCTCAAGACAGGTAGGCAAAAACTTTGAAGCATGGCAAAACTGGGAAACTATTTCCTAATGGTGAAAAGAGCTGGGTACATTTATGACTGTTGCCTGAGCTTATGAAAATCAGGTGACAGTTGATAGTGGTGGCAACAGTAAACACTGGAAAACTCACAGGGGAGGGGCGGGGCGGGGCGTAATACGTGAACTGTAGTAGCACTCAGCAACCAGTCTGGAATCAGCGCCATGCGCACGAAAATTTACGACTCGTAATAAACGTGGGAAATTTGGCAAAAGGAGATACGAAGAGTGTGAAATAATCTCACCAATTGTTGCAAGGAAAACTTTGTCTTACCTTAATCCATTGAGAATTTAGACAATTTTGACAGTCGGCTCTTTTTCTAAACGTAATTGAAGTAAAAAAAAGTTCAGAATTAGGATGGGAACAAAATAAAAGTTGATATAAAATCGAAATTATATTGAGAATTCAAGCCATTCTCGAGACTTTTTTAATTAGATGTAAGAAAGGAAGTCAACGGTGACAGTGTCTTCCACCGTTGTCACTGTCTCCGACGGCTTCCGACCTCTTCCGATGAGGTTTCAGACATGCACCATCAGTTCAGTTTATTACTGTACAATTTTAATAAGAACTAATCAGTAAAATGCCACGGAATAGAGTAAATTGCGCAAGACGCAATTTGCAAATAGGAAAACTTTTCAAAGAAGAGTTGTAAATGCTGCTTTTTCACTTACTTCGAATTTTTAACAAGTAACGAGGAGATGAAATCCTTTCCTTGCTGTGAAATTGGTTCAAAATGCTTCGGATTGAATTCGTATTTAACTTCTGTGATGTTTCGACAAGTTTCTTCCACTGATTCCCCATGAAACGGTGAAACTCCGCTCAATCTGCATAGCAGGGGGATCAAAGTCAAGTTAGAGAGAGTCATTTCAACCAAACTAGCTATCAGTGAATATTTTGCAGGGTGGAGCGTCAAAAGGCGTTTCTCGCTCTAGTGTCGTAAAACAGCCAATCAGTGAGAAGGTAAATATCACAAGGCGCCAACGAGAACTAAAAATATGGACAAGCAAACTGTCTGAGGCGCGGGAAAACGCGGGTGACCAAATATCGATTGATAGAAGTTGACTAGCTAAGAGGTTGAGAAGCTAGTTGGTTGAGAGGATGGCGGGAGTTTTCTTGACCAATCAAAGCGACCAGTTACCTTGAATTAAAATCTCGGAGCAAGGAAGAGAACTAACTACAAACAATCGAACCCAGGCCACAAAAATAGGACAAGAGCGCTCTCGTGACTAACCCATCCCTACTCCTCCAGAAATTACCTTAGTGCTCAGATATCTACTCGTACATAGAAATGAATCGGTGATACTTACATGATGTATGTAATAACGCCTATACTCCTGCAGTCAAAGGAAAGAAATAATTTCGTTAATGACATAAAAGACCCAGAGAAGTTCAGAACAGAAAATTAACTAAGAAAGCCTTTATCTTGACACATACCATGTATCTGTTGTGAAGTCTACAGGTTGTCTGTTCACTAATTCTGGAGCTGAAGAAAGAAAAGATGATCGATATTTTGCGAGTTAAAGGGGCTGTACATTACAAGTCTGTGGGAAAAAAAACCTCATGTTGTGGTCATTCAAATAAAGCTACTGAGAAATACTAACAAGTGGTTCTGTTGATCAAACTGCAAAAATTGGTTCTAACTTTCAAGTCTGTGGATGAATCCCTATGAGTTAAAGCTACAGAGAGGAACATTCATGTGGAACTGTTTATTATACGTGCAGAAGTAAATGGAAACATACCAGCACACTCAGGATTTCCAAACACTTGTTTAACTGCAGATTCTGAGTCGGAAATCTCCGTTGCACAACCAAAATCAATTATTTTCACTTTTGGTAACGGCCCACCATCCAGGAGAAGGTTTTGCGGCTAAAGGGAAAAAAAAAGAAGAAGATAAGAATTTGGAGAGATTACATTTGACCCCTCTTTTTACAAACAATACTTTGTTGGACACGCAATGACCACGACTTGCGTCACACTTGTTTTCGTTCATAGCCTCACCTTTAGGTCGAGGTGCACGATAGAAAGATCTCGAAGATGCTGAACTCCTTCGAGTATTTCCCTCACATGACCTATGGCAACTTTCTCCGTTAAATTGTCCATAACGACCAGATGATCGAACAACCGACCACCGGCAAGAAGTTCGACAATTATTACAAAGTTCTTCGTTGTATCGAAAGCGTCGATAAATCCACTCAAATTAGGATGTTTGAGTCTTCGAAGGAGATAAATCTCGTCTTCTACTTCCTCTTTGCCGACCATTCGTTTCTTGACCAGTTTAGCGGCGTATTCCTGCCCTGTTGCTTTTTCTACGCTCTTCTTGACAACAGAAAAACGGCCCCTGAAAAAGGTGCAATCCATTCATCAGAGTTGGACGTAAAAGGAAACGTAGATCGTTGTGACCACCCTGGGAGGGAGGGGAGGAGTCGGTGGATTTTAGAGGAATCACGTGGCTTTAAGGAAGAACGGAAAGGGGCTCAGTCGTCCGGGGGGGGGAGGACTACAGAAATTTGACAGCCAATGAGGCGGGGGTGAGGCGGGTAAGGAAATCGGTTAAGTTTTGCGACGCAAAGATAGATAACGATACGATAGATAACGATTGTTCCCTTGCGGAAGTTACTTGTGGAGAGCAACATTGTAGGACTTTTAAGTGCACAATGCTCACTGCATGGTATTCGAAATTTCCTCGTTACATGAAGCTAGGATGACCACTCCATGAAGTGGCAAGAATATAACTGCAACCTCTGCGGCTGATCAGAGCGTTAACCCTTTAACTCCCATGAGTGACCAAGATAGAGTTTCTCCTTACAATATCAATACAATATCAACCAGATAAGTGACGAGAATAAAGAAATATATCAATTTGAGAACAATTTGTTGATCCAACACAAAATTCTCTGAACTAACATTGTAAGAACTGTATGGTTGACAGTAAGGAGAATTACGAATTTGGTTTGGGAGTTAAGAGAGTTTTAACAACCGAAAAGTGGAATGCGGTTGACTGACTGACACATTAGTACAGGAAAGAAAAACAAGAGAGCCACTGACTCATTATTCATCGGAGAAATCTGCAACTCACCTTCCAAGCTCGGCGTAAATGTTATAATAATCTTCGATATCTTTTTTCCAAACAATAGGATCACTTCGCGAGTTGGAGCGCACTTTCCTCTTGTTTTTTTTCTTTTTTTCATCGTCTGAGAGGAAGAAACAAATAATGTTTTATGTGCCGTAAGCAAAAGGTAGGGAGGTGAAGACAATTGCAAAGAACGGAAAAAGGACGCTAAATATTCAGCACTCTGACTTCTTCCTCGTGCTTTTCCTTTCTCACGCGCATACATCCTTGCGCATCTCCTTCCTCGAGCGTTTCTTTCCTCGCGCATCAAGCTCATCTTTCACATTACTTCTCCTCAAAGCTTCTCGATTTTCGTGTGTTTCTTTTCTCACGAATCTCCACCTTTACTTTCTTCACTTACCCTCATCCTCGCCTATCTTCTATCACAGGGCATTTATTCCTCGCGCGGTTCTTCCTAACAGCATCTACACCCACGCGCGCCTCCTCCGTCGCAATATGCCTCGCGCAACGACGCTCTGAGATGAAGCATGTTTAGTCCGCTCTCATAACAGTTGGGCTAGGAACGATATTTAGGTGTGAAAAGGAAGAACCATTCTTAAAATTTTTACCGCTAGTCACTCACTTTCAAATAAATCATTGCTTCGTTAACTTCAGTCTCATTCAAAATTCTGTTAACGGTTTCACAACGTTCTTCGCAACAAGGTAAGGCAAAGCGAAGGTTGGAAAAGGACAACTAATTCATCGTCAAACATTTCAGCCGGTTTTTATTTCTAACTAGCAGCTACTCAGATAATTAAGCACAACTAAATTGATTTAAGCATCATTCAATGTAACCGTGTTGTCCCCATAACTCATAAGTTAAAATAGACTATGAACAGCTCCTCATTAATAACGCTTTGGCACCTGAGTTTTTTCACCCCAAAGTTTTTTCGCCCCAGCGTTTTTTCGCCCGCGGAACGTGTGAGGCCTTGGGCAACGCGAGCCAGCATGAACCCTGGATGGGATCTGGGCTCAAATCTTCCCCCGGGCGGGAAACGCACGTCCTGCAGCGTTTGTAATGAGGGTCTTCTCATAGACTAAGGTTAAAAATGATGTTATAAATCACTACAGACCCTGCCCAAAAGAGCAAATCCATGTCTGCTTGACAAGTACATTGCAATTTAGTCAATAAATTAAAATAAATAATTATCAAAATAAAATCCTCGCCAAGCAGAACACAGATTGCTCTGTAACGGAGCTCAATTTTATTTCTATTTTATTTGTTATCCTTAACTGTTTATTCATCGTACCGAGGGAAATTTATCCTCTCTGTTTCATGAACCATACGAGTTGTTTGTGAACAAACCGTTTTACAATTTAAAGGTTAATTAAAGTTATTGAATTATGAGGGAAATTACTATTGTGCAGAGACCAGTAAAGCAAAGTTGATTTGATTAAATAATCCGAGGTTAGAATACCTTAAAGAAATTTGATAGTTTAATACAACTACGACCATTTACGCATCTTAACCTGGTTTTAACACTTAAAAAGTAATAAAAGGCTACCTAAAAATCGCACGTGCAAGCTTCTGTCAAGTGGCTTAAAAAAAACTGATTCACTGATTGGCTTAGCAATAGGTAAGCCGACAAAAACGCGTCCAGAAGATTTTAGGTAGATGTCAGAATAATCAAGTCGTAAATGTATAAGTTTCTGCAAGCTTTGCGGTATCAATTCATCTGATCTGAAAGCTAACAGTATTCCTGTAACTATTCTTGGCTGCTTTGATTAAAACGCTGTTTATTTCAAGTAACTCTCCCGCAAAAGTTTGAGTGATTGATCTTATATCTGAATGACAAGTTGTGCCCGCACGACCTGTCATTCAACAAGGATAGTAATTGGCCCGATTACTCAGTGACAACACGTGATTATCAGCTGACCAGCAGATCACGTAAAGAACATACGTTTTATTGTTATTCCCGGGAGGCAATAGTTTCATTTTGGCAGCTATCCACACAGCAATTCTTCAAATACTACAACCAACGGTTAGGGTGATCAGTTAAATTTTCTACTACCTAACAATTAATCATTTATTTCTAGTAAAGCGTACGTCCTAGGGAAGTTTTACAAGTTTATACAACAATATACCAATTAAGAGTACAAATTAGTTTTATTTTACAACGCTTGTCATTTGTTTTACGGTTGGACTAGAATAATTAGAAGATCTCTAAAGTGGCTTGAATAGTTTAATTCTTTGAAGTACGAAGATAACTGATGTTCATTTAGCTCGATGTTTAAGACGATTCTTCTGAAAAAAGCAACACAGTTCAGATTAGAGATTTAATTGAGTAGAAGTTTTAAATTATATGGTAAAGGGATCCTTTAATGAGTAGAAATTACCACAAAAGTATACTAACGCAAACTTCTTTGAGTCTCTTTAGGTTTAATAGAAAAATAGGTTTGAATACAGCTTCTAAATCTCTGTGCATACAAGTCCAATTGTCATGTTTCTGCGCTCTTTGTAGAAACCATCAAAAGTGCGCGACGACTAATTTGGTGGAAAAGTTACGCCTTTTTGTGCGTGACCACCTTTAAAACAAACGTCACGCTCGCATATGACTTGCGCCTACTGAAACACTCACCGCTTTCGACGTCCAGTGTTATAGAATCCGAGATAGGACTGGGTCGACTGATACCAATCTCGTTATTAGCACTGACTCGGAACTGGTACGTGGCGCCCGGCGTAAGATCATCAATTAGCGTGCTGTTTCCTGCCACAAATGGCACCGCCGCCTGCCACACACTCACCCCAGTCTCCTTATACTCCACAGTGTACGCGGTGATTTCTTTACCCCCGTCCAACTTAGGTGGTTCCCAGTGCAACACGAGCGATGATGAGGTCATTTCTCTGACGCAAGGTTTCGAAGGAGGTTCAGGAACACCTTAATGATGTAACAAGGAAAGTTAGGATCTGAACGACAATTGTAACACATGAAAATGAAATCAAATAAACAGTGTTTAGGATTCTCGGGACGGAAAAACTCGACCTCGGTCGGCACATTTCCGTCACCGAAAATTCAGTGAGGCCGCGTTTGTCGCTTGAGAAGTTATGCCACTTGACGGAAACCTGACACGTCGAAAGATTTCCCAAAGTTTGCCATAATTTAGTGTTTAATATTTAAAAATACCGCAAGTTTGAAAAATAACACAACCGTGATTTACCCTGGCGATAACTCTGACATTTAATTGCTGATTGTTTTAGGGACCCCTCTTCCCCTTTGCTACTGTAAGTCGTGGGACATACTTCACACCAAAACTATTTGGTCCCAACTTGGGTTCGACGTTTCTGTGATCAACCATCAACAGCCTTTTAATTAGTTGGAAGTAAAATATAAGGCGTGACCGTGACACAATCGTGGGAGACCGAAATTCACTGAAGAGAGATCGAAATGTACTCGTGAGTGTTCGAGATTCACCCGTCGGAGATCGAAATTCAATCGCCGAGGACACAAAAATAAAGAATGTTCTTTCCGCATCTCGCTTGAAGTCCTATCCCAAACATTTTGGAGCAATTTATGCCACTTGACATTCAGCAGCAAGGGGTACCTGATTTGACAGCTTTTGCTTTTACCTAACACGGCAACGTTAGCGGAGCAAGTGATGCGGCGTGACCCGCACGTGACAGAACACCTGTAGTGACCTGTATCAGCAGTCTCCGTTTGCGTGATGTCCAACGCATATGTGACTCCGTCTTTAACTAGCCTGATATTGTCGTAATTTTCTATGGCATGCTGGTTCTTAGTCCAGGTCACCGTGAGGGGGTGGGTGGGGAGCGATGATAATTTGCACTGAAGCCGTAAATGGTGGCCGCTTTTAACAGTGACGTCACGAAGAACTTCGATGAAAGCTGACGGCGTGAAAGTAAGTACGTTGTGCATTGTTAATTGGGTTAGCAACGGAAAAAAATTATATAAAATAAAACGTTAGGAATTAGTTTTACTAAATAAGCATTACATTACCGTTGCCAGCTCTTTGCTTTATCTCATTCAACGACGACTAAGGCGGAGTAGTGCAATGTGCCTGCTGTTGTCGAGCGCTTACAATCAATCCATTATTATTTTTGCGTTCTTTCTACAAGCAATAACCCCTCCGACAACTACATAGGAAAAATTACAACAATGCTTCGAAGGAGGGATTTAGCCGCCGATCGCTTTCCCAAAGTTTTCATCAAAACCTCAAAGGTATGTTCCATTTCTTGACAAGAGATCACTTTCACAAGCCTTGATTTTGACTTCGATCAAGTTTCTGATTAACTCAATATAATTTTAAGTCTTAAACATGAATTTAAAAAATATATTCTTTGCGACGATTATCTAGCAAACCGAAGTCACCTAAGTGGGTTTAGTGACATCTCTCTTTTTCAGAAAAATAATTTAATGATATTGCCTTCGTAGTTAACATACGAACGGAAGGACGAAATTGTAAACAAATATGTACAGCTGACCATGGCGCAATGCACGCACTGCAATATTTCATCAGTGCTTTTTACTCGCCTAAACCTTAATTATAAAAACGTGCAACTATGTGCTTTTTTCCCCTTGTAAGTTAAGTTTTGGTGACTTAAGTTTAAGACCTTAAATCTTCTCCCAATTAAACTTTAATTTAAACCGTAGCTTTTAGTCTTAAATTTTCTTACGATAAAGACAAAGAGTTGACAGGGATCAAGTGACGAAAAGTGCTTAAGGTTAACTGTTGTTAGAGATTATCTTGGGCATGCAATGTGGTTTGTGATTCGTGCAGATCTTGCTCAACTAAAATAAAAATGAAAACAAAAAGAACTCTTTAAGTGAGTCGTGAACGAAGCAGGTAAAATCTCTGATAAGCTTAGAGCACGCGTGTAAAACAAATGAACAATGAACGCACGTACACACGAACAACTCTGAATCATAGTGAAATCATAACTAGATACGTACTGATTTCGGAGTTTCCTTTTTGATTCTGAAAGAAGAAAAAAAACACAAGTTCATCAATTTCGACATCCAGGGTGTGCGAGACAGGCCGGCTGTATGGTCAATGCGCTAGACTCCGGTTCAAGGGGTCTGGATCCTAAACCTCGATTCGTCATCGTGTTGTGTTTTCCGTCCAGACACTCCACTCTCACAGTGCTTTTCTCCACCCAAGATAAATGGGCACTGGCGGATTGTCAGGGGAGTCTGATTAAATTCTTAAGGGGAGAGGAGGGTAACCCTTGCAATGGACCAGCATCCCGTTGAGGGGGAAGAGGTATTATTGCTCTGGAAACAGAGATAAATTCTGGCTAAATGAGCCACTTGGTTCCTGTGGACTTTGACCTTTCTGATGTCCAGGGAAAGACACCAAAGTCAATATATCACTCGATAAGTTGGTAGATTTAGTTAGATTTACTAACCGATGAGGCGACAGGAATGTCTTCGCTATCATTTGCATTTTCTGTACTCAATTCGGTTCGGTATTTATCGATATTTTGTTTTATCTTGTTGGAGAAGGCATTCAGATAGGAGTCTTTCTGTTTCTTTTGTGTCCGTCTATCTTTGTTGTCACTCCTGTAAAACATAAATGAACTTTTAATTCATTTTTTTAAACTTAACAACTTAGAACTGTTCCCGCAATCTACTGCGTCATTCATCCTCGGTCGAGACGGAGTATCACCTGATGGAAACCATTCCACGACAAACCGCATTCTAAACTTCTTTTAACAAAGTTTGTTAAAGTCTCGCAGCGTAAAGTCTTTGGTTCTTGGGTCACTTACTCCTCATCCAAGAAACATCAGCTTGTTTTAAGCCCCCCCCCCCCATAACCTCACCAATTCGAGTTCCCTAACCAAAAACTCAAAGTAAACTGAACCCTACAACTCGCTCATACGATCTCAAATTCTACTCATTGTCTTTCATACATTTCTTACAAAGCTTGCACATAACAATACGTGCGCTACATCGAACAATATCCTTAAATGATTTATATTCATTCTCATAACCTGTCTTCTTTATAATGTATTGGTTAGGGGAGGAGAAATTACTTGTTGATCATAAAGGATGTAATAAATGTTATCGGTCAGAATTAAGGAATACACGTACGCGTAAATACTTTATATTTAACGATAGACGTATGGATGATAAATGTTAATTCAAGCGCGTTAGGATTATTAGTAAAGCAAGAAACCACTGGAGTCCTTCAGATAATTCTGATCCCCCAAAACATCTTTCTTTGTTCCATAACCGAGCTAAGAACTTTACCATCTTCGTGATTCTATTTATCCACGCGATGCTTTCGACATGGCTGATCTTAGCAGTATGCAGAATGGGTGTCACACATGAACCTAACAATGGCCTAACTCACCACAGAGTTCTCTTTTGCTCAGAGGTGGAGCACAGGAGCGTAAGATCCTAACGTCTGAGGTTCAATTCCTCACGGAAGCTTAAAAAATTTTCCTTATCCCGCCCTCAAGACAAACGAATAACATTATTTTTCAAATCCATACTTCTTGGACAATTAGCTTGGTGCCGTGGGGCGTTTGGTTTTCAGTCTTTTTGTTTCAATGATTCACTTGCCGATCAGAAGGAAGAAAGAGGAGCTAGCCCTTTCAGACAAATCAGGCAATTTTGTTCACCTCGTCATTACACTGAACACACGTTTCCGCGCGCTTTTTCAGGTTTACCCGCCTTCACAACCGGCTACCTAAGACGCTTTCCTGCGCTCTCCAAACTCGTCCATTTTAATTGGTCTAATTCAGTTTTCCTAACGTTTTGATTGGGTTAAAAAACTCCACGTGATCTCAGGACTCCAGTGGTCTAAGGTCAATGCTGATTACTGCAGAGAAGCAGAGTTTACACACACACACACACACACAAACATACGCCACAGCACACTTACGTATTAAAGCTCCGATGACGTGTAATAGACGGAAGAATCTTCTCTTTACTCTTTTTAGCCATTCTGGTTGAAAACAACAGTGCACAATTATTCGTGTACTGTGGCATCATGTTCCCGAGATGCTTCGGTCTTTTGTGCATCATAGACATTTTCCATACCTTAACTACGGAGGATCACAGCAGAAAAACCTGACCACAAATTCTTTCCAAAGTCCTTCCTTGGCCCGAATCCCAGAAACGAAGTAAACGGCTTCACGCAAACAAATTTATCATTGATTCGAAACGAGGCTGCCCTCATTCCCAGGATGAGAGTCTGAAAGACCTTGGAGTCGAGGATTTCACTTCACCTTAGTAATAACTGTCTACGTTGATGAAATTCACCGGTTAGGTAAGATTAGCGTTATCAAAGCATTAGTGCGGTATATTAAATCCATACGACTGGCATGCACACGACTTTCACCTCTTTACATCTAGTTAGGCTGCAACCCAAACCCAGCACCATTAAGCCATTTTTGCAGCATGAGGCAGAGTACAACTTGACCACCACCCGTTCCCATTCTCCGCGCAGCCGCCAATTTCAACGTTTGCGCGCTCGTAGGAGTTAATCGAAACAGTTTATCATTAACAGTAAGCGCACTTCTCAGTGCATCTAGTTAGACTTAGGACCGTTAACATTAGGTTTAAAAATTTTACAATTTGTTACGCGACCGCTGAACACAGGTCGCGAAGGCAAACGGCCGCAGCTTAAAGCGCCGACTACCCCTTCTTTGACGATCATTTATCGATTGAATATAAACGATTTACTGTCGAACGCCGAAATCGTAACCTGTTTGTCATAACCAAAACAAATTTCAGATGTAAGATGCTCATCTCCTTATACAAGTAAAAATAATAACACCAACAACAAAGGAGTTTTCAAAGCTGATAAAACAAAACAAAAAATAAATAATTACACAAAACAAAACGAAAAAATCGAGAACTTACGTAAAACTCTCATGCCTTGAAACCTTTTTCCTTGAAAATGTTCTGAACACGAACCACAATAACGAAAGTCAAGAACTCACAATGACATGCGACTTAAAAAAAATAACAAAAGGAAAACTCACTGCTTAAAAAATTGACAAAATAAAAGACTACACGGAAAACTAAAACGGTATAACAAAAAGATTCTTACCCGGCCGTTTTCTTGGGAGACATCGGAGTTTCTGAATCTGAAACCAAAGGCGAAACAAATTTTACGACAAGTAGTGACGTCGCACGTGATCCTGAAGTTCAAATTTCCCAGTTGCTATTGAGTTTTCTACAATCTTGGTGCATTATATCGACTCCTACCCACCAAATGTAATGAAACCTTTTTCCCCGCCAATTGCCAAAAAAGGAATTTATGACGGAAGCTAAATGTCAAGAAAATTCCAAGCAGAAATGAAACGAGAAGGAAAAAAAAACAACGAGTAGGGAAACATACTGAATTTCACTCTAAAATCTCAGCAACAGATAAAAAATGAGAAGAATTTGCATTGAAAGACAGGAACGAACCTTCGAGATTGTTGTTGGCTTCTTTTCTCAAGATCTTGGCGGGCACAAGTCCGAGTTTGTCCTCGGTGAAATTACAAACATATCGCCAGTTCTTGTCGTGTTTCTTGTTGGACACCAGGTACACAACTTCTCCTTTCTTCACAGAAAGATGATCTTTGTCTTTGGACTTGAAATCCTCCAGTACCACGAAACGTTCTTTAGTACGCTGCAAATAGCAACAGTTGCAACATTAGTCACGCAGTATCTGTGGCAGTCACGCGGTATCCGTAGCAATCCCACGTCAAGCAACACTAGTAATCTCGTTGCTCTTTTACAACAATAGGATCTTTCCATTTCCTCGAGAAACTAGGTTCCACGACTCTTAGGTTAAGCAGCAGAACATGAACATTAACGATATCAAGAAACGTTTTTACATTTTTGCCCAGCAGGAGCTAAATTCGGTGAAACAGGGACTTTGTGGAAGAGATGAAGAACGTTTCAGCTCACCGAAGTATTCGAGAAAGGCGACGTCAGGTCCTCCAGAGATTGAGCAGTTTCCAGAGCGATGAGATTCATGTGCTTAAGACGACTGGTTTGACTAGAGGGGACTGGTATCTAGAGACAACGATAAATACGCGTCGATCTCTTTCGCTTATTAAATATTGAGCAAAGATGCAGCTTTTCTTCCAAAAACAGTTCCGGCGCCTTTTTCTTACCTGTGACGCTTTCTTTAGTGAGCCAGTGTTAGGAAGGCTTAGGCTGTGCCCGCGAGTGGCAGAGGTGGTCAGCGGTAGAGTCGTGCTGCTTGATGGGGTCACCTGACCCTGAGTCGTAACAGGGGACCCAGGAGTCAATGCGGGAGGACTAAGAAGAGAGAAGCACGTGAGAATCAGCGGTTAACTTTTTCCCTTTTATTTCAAAATGTAAGATTTTACTTACAGGCCGTTGGCTTGTTGTTTCTGATATTCTATTGGTCTTTCTAACGCTGTGAAAAGAATCAGGACAACAAACAGTGATGAGTATCAATAGCTGACAAGAGAAATGTTGGATCAATTTAGATTAACGTGAGAGTGACCGGTTTAAGTTACATTTGAAGAACGTTACAACAAGCGACATACCAGTTACTGAAAGGATGTCACGATTAAAAAAAATGTTTTACAAGAAGTTTAAAAATAATTTCCTCTTTTCACATTGGATCATTACAATTTAACAACAATTTAAAATTATTACTTTTCTGTCTATTAACATCAAGCCTGTACGATCATTAAGAACATGAGTACGTCATAAGAAACTAACTGAACGTGATGAAGGGTTAGTGAAAGTTTACGTTTTAAGTTTAAACACGTTCGCCTTTTACAGGCGTAAAAGTCTGATTAACTGAATTTACAAACTCAACAATTAATTCTAAATGATATAATCACATCTCGTGTTTTAATTTAATTTCAAAGTTTAAAGTTTATTTTCAAACCTCTGTGTCCTTGGTTTAAAAATTGCCCCGCTTCAGGCGATTCTGCATTGAACAGTTAAATCAAAGTTGAAAAGAAAGTTAACAAAAACTTGGGGAAAAAATGCAGCGGAAATAAATCAGATTATGCTCATATTTTCTTCAAGAAAAAATGGGAAAATGGGTAATCAAGTGAAGTGGTTTTACGATTACAATCAAACAAACTCTACCATATCCAATGAATATACAAAAGGAAGAATATTACAAAAGCGCATGATTTCTGGGATTATTTCATCTTGTAAACAATCTCGAGAACCTTACCCATAGCAAACGCTCGTTGAGATTCCCGCATCTTTTGTAGTGCTTGTAACCAGTCTTTCTTCTTCTCGGCTGAGCTCGCGGTCATGGTAAAGATTTCCGCGTCAGGGTCTGAACCGGTCCAAATGGCGAACGACAACTGATCATCACCCACCCCTTCCATATAATTCATGTGATTCACCTGTGATGGTGTAAGGCGAATAATTTATCAATAATAGTTCCTGGCCAGAGCGACTTGGGTTATTTTCCACAGAGGAATGTACATCATTAACTGAATCTATCATTATGTAAGACGCGTGTCGCATATGAGGAGAGTTTTTAAAAGGTTATAACAAATTATATTTCTCTGTACATTGACGCATTACCTTGATGCTGTGTCTGTATATGTACACTGTCCAATCCAGCTTCCTCTCAAAAGGTTCACTGAAGATCATGAGCTGCTCAAACAAAAACACTTGCCGCTTGCATGGTTTACGAGTCTCTGGATCAGACACCATCAGTGTGTCCTGGAAAACAAGAATAAAAAGCTTAGTAACTGGGGAGGAGGGGGAGGATCATCAACAAAGTGATATCTCAGGAAGGGGAGGAATGGTAAGATAGAGGAAATGAGATGGAAAGGGTAAACTGTTTTGAGCCTCCCTAAAGATATCAAGAGAATTTTGGCTAAATTCAACGGGGAAAACTTGGCAATATCAGAGCGCTGATGATCATCTTACGGAGAATTCTGTGAATGCTAGTTACCTGCATAATCAGAGTTCCTTGCGCTGCTATCTTGCCCTGAAAGAAAAGGAAAAAAAATAGGAAAACAAGAATTAAATCGTGTCAAGACGAAACGTATTGAAAATCATTATTAAGGTAATGTAATTTTGAAAACAAGTGTGTTTGTTTTTCTTACCGTGTAACCCTCAAGCATTCCAACGTTCATCATATCATTGGCTTTCTTAGGAACAACGTACATCATATCCAGAGCTTTCTGTAAACATAGATAACACATAATAACATCACTAAGCCGCACATTGTCCAATAAGAAGACAGGAAAATTTCATAAGGAATACAATGTAAAGCAAACAGCTTACAGCGCGGGAAAAAGTAGGTGAGCGCAGGAAAACGCGGGTGACCTGGTAACGATAGGTTTCAGTTTTGCATCTGAATGGTTGAGAGGATGGTGATAGTTTTCTTAACCAGTCACGGCGCTTAGCAAAGCAGAATCAATACAATCGCTTTACTGAAAGGTGGACTGGGACCCACCTTGAGTTCTGTAGTGTCCAGTCCCGCCTTGCCTGTATATTTGACAAAGTCTTTGAGGAGGAGCTGGTACTTCATGATTCGTTGAACCGGTTTAATCAGGTAATCCTCAATGCCAAGTCGATAGCCGAGACGCTCGGTGACTTCCTAAATAATCGGTTAAAATGGAAGTAATTTTACAAAACTGTGACCGACTTATGCTTTCTTAGCACAAGTATTAAAGCTGTGATAATTCCAGTCCTCATCAACTAGGAAAAAAATATGATGAACAAAAAGATATACAGCAACTCACCGCAAAATATGTCTCACGGAATTCGTGGACAAGATTCATGGACTTGGGTTTATTTTGGCAGTAAAAGATATAAAATTTGAGGTAACGTTCCTGAAGGAATTACAAAAAATACATCAATTAAAAGATACCAAAAGACGAGAACTTATGTCGTGTAAATTGCTGTTTAGATTGTATTTGAAGGCAACTTACAGACGTTAAAAAGCAAGAGGCTAGCTTCTCAGGTGCATCCTCACATTTCTCCAGTTCTTTTAAGAATTTGCTGCAGAGAGAGTCAAAAAATAGATGTTAAACTGATTGGAATCCTTCACCAATCGCTTGCTTTGCATTCTTCCCAAATCTAGTCCGTTCCTTCGTTCGCTCGTTCACTCGGTTGTTTCTTCGTTGGCCCTTTGCCATGAAATCTCTCATTTGGTCACCAACTCATTCTTTAACTAGAACGTGCAAGCAAATGTTGGTTCATACTTACTTCTTGTGCCACTCGTAGATTTGTTGTATGTTGCCAAATAACACCCTCGTTTTTCCCTTCAGTTCTTCAGGCGTCTCTGGCTTTGCAAGTTCAACAATGAAACCCTGCAAAAACGATTTGAAAAAATGTCACCACTGAGATTCTGTACCGTATATCAGACACCACTGAATTTTTTTGAGCCTTACATCTGAAATCCTTACCTCTACAACTTCTCCGAGACTTTTGACATAATCTTTTTCTGTTTGAATCAGTTCCTTTAACACAAATCTAACAAGTAAAAAGCATGTAAAACCCAATGAGCTAAAATTGAGAAAAGTATCACACTAAGGGCAAGATTGATCACTCAACAAACGCAACGAAATGAAATTGGCTCATGTTAATCGCAAATATCAGCCACTTACGTTCTTTTCTTGAGCGCCACAGCTTCAGGGTCTTCATGATCTTGGGTTGGCGTAGATGGCGCAATATCGACCTCTTGTTCCTCGGTCTCCTCTCCTCCGATTTGTTCTTCGTCTTCGGCTTCTTCCTCTTGTGGATCATCGTGCTCCACCGGAAGTTGTGGCTCTTCTTCTTCTTCTTCCTCTTCCGGTGTTTTGTCGTACTCATTCTCAAAGTCATCTTCTACGTCATCATCGTCTTCCTCGTCATCGCTAAGATGAAGTTTTAGTTCTCCTTCGCTTGTGGAAGGCTGAACAGGCAGATATGCTGTTCCTTCAGGATTACCGCCATTGTGCGAATCACTCAGCTCCTCCGGAATGCTCTGCAGAACATTATATAATACGCTGAATTATACAGCCATTTTGATTGGTTCTTAACTCTACAGGAAGACAGACGCGACGATAACGTCCCCATCAACAACATTTCCCTTCTTCATAAAATAAAACAAATAGATTCCATGTTAACATGCGACTATTCTGAACAGATCGCTGGTGACGTCAAGGTGTGGAAAGGAGAACAAGTGACACAGGAAACCCAGTTATCTGTGATCTATTTCAGAACAGACACACAACAAACATGGCGTCTATTTGTTTCAGATTGTATCTAAATCTTTCACTCAACATTCTCTTTCCCTTCCTTTGTTTCCTCCGCTGAAATTCTTTTAATCCTTTACAACCTGAGAGTAACCAGCACCTAATATCTCCTTACAGTAATAACGCGGAATCATTCAATACGATCATGAAAATAAAGGAAATGTTCGCCAAACCAAAAGCTTTGATTGTTAAACAAATTCTCCTTGTCAAAACCAAAAGAAATGTATAGAGAAGAGTATAGAGATTATGTACACTCATGTTAGCGTGTATAGGGTTCAAGGAATCTCTCTATCCATAGTGTCTCTAACTGTAACAGCCAGACTTACCCTATGTGTATGCGTAGATACAATCTCAGCGGGTCTCACTAGCAGATCGATGTCACTCTCACTGGCTCCCAGGAGTTGTTGAAGCTTCTTAGACCCACCCCCTGAGACCCCCTTTGGCATCCGTGTGGGTGTTCCTGGAGACTGGTCAGTGGTTGGTTTATTGCTCATTTTAATTTTACTCCACGAGCGTTTTCTGTTTAAAAAAACATAGATTAACGATAAAAAAAATGTCAATTATTCTCAAGATAAAACCATTCATGAAAGCTACTTGAGATTTCTTTCATAAGGTACTGTTTATTAAGTTTTACGAGGTTTTTCTAACTTTTAGGTCTGTCGATTAAACCCAAGTGTTCGACTGTTCAATATTGAGGAGCAAGTTCATGTGATACTGTTTATTAAGCCCTGGAAGAGAGAGCTCTGGGTTTCAAGTCTGCGAATAAAAACCCAGTGTGGGACCATTCAAATGAAAGCTAGTTTTCAGTGACTGTGGTGTGATACTGTTCACCACGTTGTGAAAGGTGGTTCTTACTTTTACGTCTGGGAATGAAACCCGATGTGTGATAATTCAAATGAAAGCCACTTGAGAGCACTTTCATACGGTGGTGTTTTTTCGTGCTATGCAAAGTGGTTCTAAATTTTCAGTCTGTGTTAGAGAGCTTTTGTGTATGAATTTAGGGTTCAAACGAAAACTTAAGAGTCACTTTCATACCGTTCTCACGTTCAAGCTTTCAATGAAAGCTTACCGTATGTTTATTCAACTCAGTGCTACAGGTTTTAACAGTTAACACAATTTTCATTCGGAAACTCGAAAGCGTAACATAAAAATATTGGTGACGAAACTAGATTTGCGTTGCGAACACGTATTTTGTTGGCTATATTGGACGCCTGAACTTAATTACCAATACGGTGGCTTGATATAGTAATTACAACTTGTTCTCGCAAACAATACACAGCTCGGTAAACACCTACGCAATCTATTCATTTGCACCTAAATGACGCATTTCTTGTATTTCAAACAAGCACAGTTTAAGCCAAAGCAAAAGCGAGTCTTAGGTGACTTACCTAAGAGAAAGCTGAGGGCCCGATTTGGATCGTCGGCGGACTGGGGGCGAGCTACCATTATTATTGGTGGGTTGGCCCTGGTACCAAGAAGTGGTAGGACTGTCAGACGAAGACAAAGAGACAGAATCTGCAAAGAAACACATCAAAGAAAAAGTGAAAAAGTCGGTTAAAAATATTACAACGGCGCTTCCTAACAATGCTGAAGTTTCAGGAAACCTTGTGGGTTACCGATCGGAAGTGAAACACGACAAGAAAAAAGTGGTTTCGTTTCGTTGTTAAGATTAAAATATTTTCTCAGTATTATTCAGCTACGATGGCGAGCTATCATTGTTGTTGTTATTGTTGTGTTTTTAAGGTGTCGTGCAGATTAAAAAGCCGCATACTAAAAAAGATGTACTAATCGTACTTGGAAGGGACATTAACTTTCTACAACACTTTATGTCCATCAATCATGTACAATCGTTGTAGGCCTTGGGACATGTTGTATATTGTTACAGAAGACCAGTCACTTAGCGCTGAAGTGGCCTCACAAAACTTGTTAATACAACCACGCATTACATTACATTGACAAGAAAACGCAATACGTTGTCAGGTGCTGCGTACGAAATGGTCTTCGAAAATCCCGGAAAAAAAACAACCACGACGTATTCTTTTAAGCATATGGATTATATAGATATTTTATCCTCATTCAGAAAACAACTACAAAGACAATACTCGATAGAGCGCTAATATAGCCCTCATACGAACATTTAAAGATATGATGACACATTTTTTTTTAAGTCCGCATGGAAACAATACTTCCGCTCAGAAGTTAGGAAGTTACTTCTCGTTGTTCTGTTTTAATCTTAAAAAAAAAAACAAAAAACAAAAAAAAACAGCGAAAACAGAGTAGCATATTAACAAAGTCTTAATCATTTTCTATGGCCCGACGAAGCACATCACCAATAAAATCTGTGCGACTGACCCGCGACTGATGAATACTGACAAATTATTTTGTCATTCTACCAACGTATCCGTCAATAAATGAATGACTATCTTGTGTCAAAGAAACTTGAGCAAGACCCTTTTCAACTCCTTGCGTAAACGATAACTAGTTATTTGATTACTTATTTGAGAGAAATAACGATATCTTCCAACTATTTGAAGGCCCTGAGTCTCGAAGAAAATTGTCTTAGTTCACCGGCATCATGACAGCGTCTAATATAACACTGACGAAAAAGGTTCCAACCAAATATCAATTTTCTTTTGTTTATCTTTTACCGCGTCAAAATTCCGTTTTGAAAAGGAAATGAAACTCGATGATTCAATTATTGTCTAACTGCAAGCTAGTTTACATTTAATACGACGTTGGTAAATTCAATTAATTCGATATCTGGGAAACATTGGTTGTCCTGACAGGATAAGAAAGACGATGTTCGTATTGAAGCATAAAGGCAGCCGCCAATAAACGCAATTACCTGCCTGAACAAGCAGATATTCGCCGGAAAATGACGAAAATAGAATTTTGAATGTTAAACAAAACGTTTACTACGGAGAAAGAAGTCGCTAAGGTTGAATGGATCTGTTGAGAAGTGTTGATAGACAAAACAGACTTTTAATTTCACAAGCTGCCATAATCTAGACATATCAAAATGAGAAATATCAATCTCGAAAGTTTTCCACCACTGCGAATATTGATTGTTTTATCATGTTTCTATCTAAAATGTTGCTATATTGGACAAATTAATACGACAGGGTGTTTGAAAAGAAAGAGAACCCGAAACACAAAGGCAACACATAAACAGAAAAGAAACTAGCGACCTTTGTTGTCTTGTACATGACACATTCCGAAAGCTTTGGAATTTACGAATAGTGCAAGACATCTCTCTTGTTTCGATTCAAAACACGGACAAAAACGCTTTTGATGATAGAAAGGGAAGTTATAAAGGCATAAAAAAACTCGACAAACAGAAGCTACTTGTTAGAACGATTGTACGTTTGTCCAGTTCAAACAAAATTTTGCACTGCATTGTTGTGCAGGGACGGATAAAAAGCCCAAGTCAACAGAGCAACAAAGAGAAAACCTACGCAACCCTGACTGCTATTGCATTGTGCTAATCGAAAATCAAAACGATTCGCGCTTTCTTACTCCTGACCAAATGAAACTGGAGGATGAAATTATAAACCTTTGTCAAATTCACATTTTAAAACAGACACGCAAACTGAGAGAACAATGAACTGGCGAGAGATGCACGCTATGATAGGAAAGTCACACACACCAACATGACAAACCAAACTTCGGAATTCTTCGACTCACCTTCGCTGCTCGAATGGGAGATGTCCGAATGCCGTTTCTTCTTCGTATCTCGCTCGTCTGAACGCTTTAACGCGTTATGTGGAACCCATCCTTCGGAGGGATGAATTCCTTCGCTCAACAGCAAGCGAACTCGCCAGCGGGAGCTTCCATGTGGTTTAACAAGGACTTCGACGAGCTGACCTTTTTTCAGTGAGATCTCTTCATCATTTCCTGCCTTATAATTCTCGGTGACCGACCACACATTATCGTTGTATTCCAACACCTTAGGAGAAAAGGAGATTAGCTGAATTGGCGATGTGGAATAAACAACCCATGGCCCTTTCGATTGCAGCATGTTTATATGCTAATAATGGATGTGTGCGGTACAATGTTGTGTGTACATGGGAGAGTGAATATGCGAATTATCAAAACACGTTACACTTCACTGCATTGGAATGGGAAAAACGTGATGTTATCACTAGATCCAATTGCGCTGCATGAAGGGAGTAAGCATATCTTATAGTTTCCGTGTAAAACTTTAATACTCTTTTAAAGCCAAGAGGTTCAAGTTTTAAATGGACCAGATAAAATAAAAAAAAAAAATTGCAATTTAAATTTTGCAGACTTTGAAAAAAAAACAGAACGCAGACAGCGAAGCACTATTAGAGAGCTTTCACGTGGCCAGCCACAGCATAGATAAAATTTCATCGAGATTCTAATTTAAAGACCACCATTAAAAAAACGTTTCACGTTTGTGTTAATCCTTTGTTGTCACGTTCACGTATTTTTTTTTTCGCTTAAATCCGGCTTAAGCATGCAAAATTTCACAGTGCTTTATCGAAAATCAATCTCAATCCAAGCTCACCCGTGGAAAAAAAACCCACGACTGAGAAGAGACTGATAGTAAATCTCGGATTAAAAATTAATATCTTCAGTTTTGGGGAGCTAAGAGATGACAAATAAAAGTAATGTAATCGGGAATTTACTAAGACAGGGATCGGTTCTGCAATGATTTGAATTTATTTCCTCTTTTAAACTGTATATATTAAACTGATCAAGTTCTCAATTTCCATTTCGAGTGGAAAACCATCAAGTGTAGCCACTCAAGGAGAGGCTAATGAACTAAAATTGTTTCTTAGGAAATGACATAACGAAACAGTTTTAAAGTTTTCGACTCTTAACACAAGAAAATAATTGCGTGGAAATACAATGGTTTTTAAAAACACGTAAAGTGTACCTAGTCTTCGAAAAGGAAAGCTTCAACACCTCTTCCAATTCGAAATATCGAGAGGAAATACCTATTTTCTGAATAAACAATTGCAAGCCCAATTAAACATCGTCACAGGGGTCTAAGATTCCGCAAGATGATAGGATACTAACAAAATAAAACATTGCTAAATTTCCCTGTTCCATTAGTTTCTCGTTTAAAAAACTTCGAGGAGATAATTACATCAGAGAATCAAGAGGTCCAGAAAATTGCCAATTGAGAGGAAAACATCCAATAATGTTTGCTCATTTAATCCCCCTGACCATAAGCAAGCTTTCTATACTACATCCCATACGCTTTTAAAGAGAAACATATTGAGACTGACAATTGAATGAAGGAAAAAGAAACCGTCACAGATTTGGTTAAACATCAAATTCTCAGTACTAACATTGCATTTAAAAAAAAAAATTAATGGCAGACAGTGAAGAATCACCTGGGGGCAGAAGTCATTAGCGGGAGTGTAAGGAAGTTGTTGGTCTAATATCGTTGGCTTCTTTCCCTAAACGAAGCAAACGATACGAGTACATCCACAATGCAGAAAATGATAGCCTTATCTCCGCGTGTTACATTTCGCGCGCGCGTGTTACACGTATTCTCATCGGGCGATCGCGATGTAAGCTAATTTTAGAACAGATATGTGAAACAACTGACAACTGAATTTTTGAAAATGACCAGCATGTGCCGTCAAAATGAACCTCTGGCTTTATCTCATAAAACTAAATCGAAACTTTAAGCTCCTTCAACTCGAAGTTAACAGGAAAAATTCTGTCAGTCTAGTTACAAAAACAAAGCAAAATTCTGGAACGAAATACGAGAACATTCAGCCACGTTGTAAAAATGCAAGACAAAGGAAAACAAAAGGAAAGGATAACTTAATTCGAACTTCAAACCGGAATTTTCTGCGTTGATGAGTTTTCGCCAATTTTTGGCTCGATCGGATTAGACCAAAGTCTAAACTGCGCACGATGTAGATAAAATATCGTTCAGTATTGATTTAAAAGGTTTAGAACTCGAATGAATCGGCCGAAAAGTTCAAGTACTAGTGACGTCTAGTGGAACAATATGGATAGAAATGTCTCACGCGAAACTACGACAAAACTCAAGAACTAAGTGGTATGACGAACGCCTATGAGTAAAAAAGCACTCAATCAACTCGTACTGTAACCAAGGAGGAAAATAAACTGAAATAACCAAAGAGATAGTTCTTCTCATCGCACATGATTCGCATTGGACTGGAAACCGACAATATAGCACGGCGGGGAGCGAAATGAATTTAACTGCGGTTTAGGCGAACTGGACGGTACAAATTCGTCGTTGATATTGCGTCCTGAAAACGCACGATCGTTTCGAGGCCGAGAAGTATCGAAAGTACGGAGTCGTGTCGGTGTAAATGCGTACTCTTACGTTCACAAACAAAAGACTACGGAATATAGATAGAACAATCAAATACTCTACCTTGGGGTCCAGTGTCAAAATCTGCCGCTCAAATAACAGCGGTAACGTTGAAGATGCGCGCTTTGTCCGTCCATTTCGTGGACTGTTCATGATCTTAAATCAATCGCTGATTCAAAATGGCGGCCGGAATAACACTTAGAAATCATTACGCGACTAAGCCTGGAATATTTCACCACGACACAAAATAAATCCCCTCTGCCGACTGTCGTCATCGGGCAGACAGGGCTGTCACGTAGAGCCGATGAATCGCATAGTAGGACACAGAATGAAGAAATCCGTCTTACTGCAGATTACTTTTAAGCTTTTAGATTATCACGTACAAACAAAGAAGCACTTCTGTCCCGTGAAGCGGATTGCTCTCACATATTAACCAATCACGGATAGAGTGAAAATCATTAGTGTGACAGGCTACATGTCTGTCACGGTCATAGCCAGAGGGGGTCATGGAATGTTAAACACGAATAGGGCGTAAAATAAGTTACACCGCCTAGCTCCGATAATCGTGTAAGACGGTTAATTAAAGGATTAATTTTTGTTCTGCTTGACATCGAGATTCTTCCTTTAAAACCTTGCACAAGACCACTTGGAGATGGCAAATCCTCTCTTAAAATAGTAAAGCTTAACGTTTCAGGTTTTGTTGCGCGATCTTGCAGTAATAGCATGTCCAGACCCTGCCAGACAAACGCAGTCACCTGTTTTTGGTGTGAGGCATTCGAAGTGGTAAAGAAAATATTCCCATTTGGTTTATCACTAGAAACACACACGAAATCCCGTTATAATTTTTTAATATTGTCACCGTCTTCCCGCAATTAACAACGTATCTGTTTGTTCGAAACATGAAGGAATTTTACCGCTCTGACAAGAAAGCCTCCGAAAGATTTAACCGTACGAAAAGAAGTTAGAGGCCATTCGGGAAGTCTTATTTTAAAGATTTGCGTACATTCTGGTAGGATGCCCGATTTTTCAAGGCTATTTGTAAGATTCAGAGAGGTCAGGATTTAATTTTTGTCGCAAGGCAAAACGTAACGGCATGTCTCGCGTTTCTTATTAAGTTGTAAAGCCGTTTTGATGGCTTGGGGATGCTCATTAAAGAGTCTGTCAAAGTGTCTTTTTATTCCAACATAACACGATTTTGGGATGAAAAGTTTCGCCGACAGACCTTATCGATACATTCGGTGCTAAGTTTTCTTCAGACAATCATCTTAATTGTCCAGATGCATGAGCATATTCTCATAACATCATCAATCAAACACGAGACGATACAAAAGTAGAAATTGGTCCCTTCGCCACATTCAATGCTCATCCAAAGGCTTCAGAGAACACAATGCTTGGTGAGAGGTTTCGATCTATCACCAGCGCTAGTGCTAAAAAGCTCCAAAGGAGGTAATTTGGCGGCAATTCTGCGGTAATCTCATAACGAACTTAAGAAAGAAATGGCAACTACTTAATATCCACTTCGATCAATTGACAACTTTACATGGGAACTTAAGAAACCGGAAAACAATCATAATGGCGAAACTAACAAGTCACCATATTGTAAGAGTGATAAATCGCAGCAAATAAACTTTTGGTTTTCATCTTTTATGGTTTTTTGTATCTCTCTCTTTTTGCTTACTCCTATCTCCAATTTTCTTACCTTTCCTTCAGGGAAGTTGTCGAAGTCGCCCGAGATGGTATCATCTTCTATAACACCACTTTCCCTAAGGCAAGATAAAAGAAAACCTTTACTTCTTAAAACAACCATGTACCAAGAGAAATACCAGCAACGCGCTTAACTGAAAACTGAGCTCATTAACGAGAAAGCAATCATACCGGTCAGCAGCTTTCTCCTCGCGGCTCTTCATCGAGGCAGTAGTTGTCACAGAACTAGTCGAGCTCGTCATGGAGGTCGCTACAGAATTGAGAAAATAAGTTACCTTTCGCCTTCTTTTAACTCTCAAAGCGGTCTCATCAAGATAATTTTAAAACCTTCAATTCCACTTTTGGAAAATTTTAAACCTGATTGGCTACAAACTCGTGTAAATCCATAGGTACCAGGCCCTGGAGGCGTGCATGGCGTGAAATAATAAACTCTGTCACAATAGTGTTAAGAATTTCCGAACGGTGTTGGTAACTGAGTAAATCAAAAGAGGAAAAATTGACCATAAAAACTACAAAAGCGTGATCACTTCAATCCATTCAAAGAAATCTCTGTTCCAACTCTCATCCATGAAGTGTGGACTCCGGTGATGAAAACCTCGCTCTACCGTATAACATTCGGACAATGTCACTAGCTGAGCACCTACGCACCTATCCCTCCCCTCCCCACCCTTAACCCTGACTTGTTATCTAAGTTGCCTATTGTTGGGTTAGGGGAGGGGTAAGTGTGCAGTTGCTACAATACTGACATTGCTCCTTAACATCCCATTTCAACAATTATTTAAGGAAAATATTTCAAGAGGATAACTACAGCTCTACATGATTTTTGTTGTTAGGAAAAAGGTATTTGTCCTTACTTCTCTCTCTAAGGGTACCAAACTGGAAATTCTGAATGACTTCCCTCAGTTCTTTCACCCACAGTTGCTTGCATTCCAAAGATCTTGCCTGCAATTGAATCTTTAGTTCAAAACACGGGAATGGATTAAAACAACATTGCATGCAACCAAACTTTAAAACCACTTTCACATAGAACGATGCCATATCGGATTTATACCAATTTGGATGCAGCGAGATGGAATCCACGTGATGTAATTCAACTTATCACTTGAATTTATCAAAAATGAAACGCGACACTTTAACCCTTTCACACTTATGAATTATCCTTGCAATGTCACCCTTGACTCATATCTAAAGGTCGTGAGAATAAAGGAAATGGTCACCAATTTGGGAATCTGATTGTCCAATAAATTCTCCTCGTCAGTAACAGAAGAAATTGAATTGAACAGAACAGTGTGGAGAACATGAAAACCAGTGTTAAAATGTATAGCGTTTAAGAGATGAAAAAACATTCCTAACTTACTTTCATGACGCGTTTATCCTCAGACTGTGGAGGTTTTCCCGTCCACACAGCGAATTTACAAGAATCCTCTGCAATGTGCTCTGTTATTCCTAACTCGGGGGTCTGTAAGAACGAGTAAATTATAAGATCATTGATTTGATCGATTCTGATTATTTGGTGTTAAAAAAAAAAGACTGACTGACAGACTGAAAGAATGACTGACTAACTGACAGATTGACTGACTGACAGACTAACAAACAAATAAAAAAGTAAATAACAAAGTAACTAACAAATTGACTGACAGATTGACTGAATGACTGACTGAATGACTGACTGACTGTCTGACCGACTGATTGCATGAACGACTAACTGACCAACAGACTGACTCAGTACGGACACGCGGACTGATTGTCTGAATGACAGTTCATGGAATAGCACCGCGAGAAGCACGTTCCTTGAACATGAAAACAACACAATAAACCAGCTAAAGATCGCACCCCAAGCATCTCATAGGTGTTCGTTGTCCCATGACATTTTCCACTAGGTGCTGATGCAAAACGAAAACATCCTGAAATTATTTACCTTCATTTTGTTTTTGTAAAGATACTTGATTTTTCCATCTGCATCTTTGGTCTCCTTGCTGAAAAGTAACGCTTGCTCGAAGAGGAAAATATGGCGTTCTTTTCCCTTTCTTCTTAGCTGCTTTGGATCAAAGACAGTGAAAGAGTCCTGCAAGAAATAGACGCCATCTTAGAACTTCAGACAAGCTTAGCAAATAGTCGTACATTTCAACCTTCGTGCGCGACATAACGATAAGCAATTGTGGGACATGGCGATACGCCACGTGCGTGACACGATGGTGATAAGCCACGCGCGTGACACACCACAAATTCTTGACAAAAACTTAAATGAGCTAAATTCTTCAATGCTGCAGAAAGCGAGTCAACTACTGAGAAAACGATCGCGAAACTGAAAACCTATGGAATGAATATTAAACGATTTTAAGTACCTGTAACACAACTTTTCCTAAAGAATCAATGTTCTCCTGAAATAAGAAAAACAGACATGTAATCAAACTGTAAATCTAGTTTTGTTGTTAGCACTTTGATTGCTCTATCGAGTGACGGATTATGAAAAGTAATCTCCTCAATTTTCCTGCTACAAAACAAAAGTATATGAAAAGACACAAAAAGGAAGCAGCAAATTAAGAACCTTGTTTCATAATGAGAATTTCAAAATAGCATGGGTTATTTTCACCAGTAGCAACTTCTACATTGCGTGAAGACTGCGCTCACGTGCGACTCACGAACGAGAAATTCAACTTACATCGTATCCGTGCAGCATGTTCACGTACATGGCGTCGTTAGCTCGCCTCGGTACGCTTAGCATCACATCCAAACCCGCCTGGGAAGAGAGTACAACATTTAGAAAAACGCGTGGTTAAGAGGCTGGGGTTCCTGTGGTGCAAGCGACCCTCCCCTCCCCTCCCACCTTACCTTCCCATCTTGTACCAACTGCAATGTCTTAAAACCTATTCGAGACACTCAGAGGAGCGACATTAACCGTTTGTCCCGTCTAGCACCTAATTTCTTCTAATAATATCTTCCCTGAATCAAGGTCACAAGGGTAGACGAAACGATCACCGACTTAAGAAGCTTTTGATTGTTGTACAAATTCTCTTTGTCAGCACCTTAGGAAATGTATAAAGAACAGTATGGAGAATATGCCAATTGATGTTATGAGAGAGTCAGGAAAAACAAGCAGCGGATGTAGAACCACGCTGATTTTCCTTTTTTGATTTTACAAGCTTTTGCACTCGCCTCCACTGATCGATTGCCTGAAACAGCATGGTAAGTGTATTGATGTTTAAATTCGCTTTTGTGATTCCGCATAACTGTTTACAAGGCGCCCTGTTCTTTTGTCTTTAAAGATGAGAATTGAAATGTCTTAAGGAGCTAAGTCACGATATCATTGAGCGAGTTTTTTCTTTTCCTTTTTTTTATTTTTTTGAGACGTTCACAAAAATACCTTCAGCTTTAAAGATGATACACACGTTGATTCGTTTGGGTAGAGAAAGACTGGAGAGGCAGTGATAAACCGTAAAGTGACAAGAATAGATTGAAGACGACAATTCTATCAAGCTGAGCTAAATTTAAACATGCGCAAAGCGTGACGTGGCTGTTGTAAATTTTCCAGCGTAATTAGATAAGTCTAGCACTTGATTAGAAAAGATATCTGCTTTTCCTTCTTGAGTTCCTCAAAATAGATGTTTATTGAAGTTGTCATGCGGTTGAATGATCTTCACTCCGATATGGAAAAAGAATAACAATTTTTTTTTTTAATCGAACAAGGAATGAATCAAGGAGTAAATTGATCAATTAGCGTTTCTACACGCTGGTATTTATGTAACTATCAACGAGGTTAGATCAATAAACGTTTCATCTGATTGTTAAAAGTTCAAACAAGCTGTACAGCTCAAAAACCTTGTAAAAAATGCTATGTAAACAGACTATGCCTTTGCATTTACATACCTGGAGACTACACTCGGATCCCTCTTCACAGCACGTCAGAAGATCCTAAAGTAAGCGACCCAGGAAGTTAGAGCAATCTTTTCACTTAGGAACAAAGAAACAGCTGGAATATTTTTTGCAAACAAGTCCCGAGCCTTTTAATGATTAAAGGTAGAAACCATTTTTTAACGCAAAGAATCTACCACACATGAAGTTTCTAAAAATTACTTTGAACTTCATTCGATAAATTAATGAAACAAGTGAAAATTCGAAAACTAAATTGTTTGTAGTACGGTTGAAGAGCTCCATACTTTGCAAAGGTTCTGGTAAAAAGGAAAAGTTGAGAGAAGCGAACAATTCTAGCTATTCTCTAAATTTCCATGAATGAAAACATTACCGTCTAGAAAGGGATATCAAATGCTACCTTACCTTTAAAAGTAGCTGGTATTTGGTTATTCTTTGAACAGGTTTTATAAGATATGCAGAGATGGATAAACCATGCCCATAGCTAGCTTGTAGATCCTACGAAAACGAAACAAGGGTTAGGTTACGACCCAACAAAGCTTCCATGATCAGAGCAGCATGGCTGCAGAATTACGTCAGGCCAAAATAAACACAGTGGATCTTAAGATGTGACCACCACAATGCAGACATTTGCATGTGAAAGGAGATACAGATAAAATTAGTAGCGAGTTATGAATTGATCACTCACCGCAAAAAAGCTCCCTCCGTGCTCGATGAGAAGGGAGTTTGAGAAAGGCTTGTTCTTGCAATAGGCCACATACATGCCAACAAACGATTCTCCCTGTGATGAAGAAATTTTAGTCGTCAATAAAACGTCATAATTCCAAACTGTCATTTTGTCCACATCTATATATGTGCAAATTAAATTCAGCATTAAGCGCTTAAGATGGCCTTACGATCGACAAAGCCAACCGGGAGGATTTTCATTAACCAGTTTTACCTCTGCACACTAAAACAGACAATCGGCTCATAATTCAAAGTGATAAGAGATAAATATAAAATCTTTTATGGAAAAATGTAATGATGATCCTTACGTACCCATTCCTGAAACGCATCTCCAACGTTCTCAGGATTCGTTTCAAACTTCTCTAGAGCTTGCAGAAAAGTGCTGAAAATTCAATTTCGAAGAAAAATAAATGCTAGGTATCGATAAAGACGTAAAAAAATGCTATCTCACCACATACATTTGCCGAGTGTTTACCAAGCTTAGGATTACATGAGCAATCTTCTATAAAGCTTGGATTAAGATGCTCATTATACCACTCAAGTCTCAGGTATTAACGAATCAACACCGGCTAAACGTCGGCTCGACTTCGGTTTTCATTGGTAAGGATGGCTATGAGACGAAGTAACCTTGTCATGTAAGAAGATGCAAACCTGTTATGAAAGTTGTAAATGTCCTCGATGTTGCCAAAAATTATGCTTTCTTTTCCCGCAAGACCAGGTGGAACTTCAGAGCTGTTAGACATGGCGCTAATGTAGCTCTACAAAGAAAGAGACGAGGAAGAATATCTTGCGTCAACATAAAGGAAAAGCAAGTTGTGATACAAATTTCTTGTTATACGCACTTGGGAAAGTAATAGTTGGTTTAACTGCAACTGAAGCCAAATCAAGTGTGCCACTTTTAACGAATCAGAAATCAGATCACCCGCTTTTTCTTTCCCGTGTTTAAAAAGGCGCTAATACAAATCTTTCCCGTAACAAATCTTTCCTGCCTTTGGCAACCTGCAGCAGTCAAATCTTTTTTTGGCTACAGCTACAAGTTTTTTTGGCGCTGACCACAGGTGACTGTTTTCGCGAGCTTGCTACCGATTGCACGTTGCCTGATGCATGCAACTAATTTCATCGTTTTATTTTTTTTTTTCGAAAAGAACAATTGAAAAAAAAAAGGATTCTGGCTGCATAAAATTGCTTCATCGCAGAGTTAACCTTTCTTTAACTGATTTATATTTAAA